CCAAAATATAAGGTCACTTTTTTTAAGGTGCCACTTTTTATATGTATGGTATTCAGCTTTGTTCGGGTATTTTCCCACGTCATTATAGTTGTGCTTTTAAAGTTGTACCAACGTTTCGGCAGAATCTCATCTGCTATCATCAGGCTTCTGTATAGTGTTCATCAGACGAAACACACGAACAAAGCTGAATACCTTACATATGTATGTATGTATGTATGTATGTATATATGTATGTATGTATGTATGTATGTATGTGTACATACATACATACATACATACATAGGAAATGTTGGGAAAATACGTGGGAAAATACCCGAACAAAGCTGAATGCCATACATGTAAGTACCCACGAAAACTTGAGAATATATATATATATATATATGTACACACACATCAGCAAGACTGTGTGTGAGAGAGATGTTGTGATTTATGGGTATTTCTACAGTAAGTAGCATAGAATTGATTTGCTGTGCCAAAGTCCTAGTCCCTGATTATTGTAATACTGATTTACAGTTTGTTTTTAATGAAAATGTGTGCTTAGTATATTCTGTCAACACCAGGTAAGATACATGAGAGGGATAAACAACAATGTGTTGCCAAACTCATATTGAGATACTTCTACAATCTAAAATCAACCAATTATAATTTAATCATCCTGATGTCTATTTAGAAGTAAAATTTAGAAGTTCAACTTTCAGAGGAATTAGTAGCTTGAAAGGTGCAAGTATGTTGAACAACTGGACAGAATGAATATAGCCCACAATACAACTTTGCCCAAATTATTAGACCTTTCCTGACTAGTAAGTATAATTTGAGGTCAGGAATTATGGGAATTACATTAGAAAATATAATGGGGTGTGTGTATGTGTGCATGTGCAGAATAACAACTTGCCTATCCTTGCATTGTAGGCCTCATATTTTCATCTGTATCACATAGATGAGCTCTAGAGACAGAAACACATCTTGTAACATCTTGCTTAGACAACAACTGAGAAGTTACTGCTGAATTCAGACATGAGCTGCTCCTCCCTTTGAAAACATTGGCTATGCCCTTACCGCACACTCTAAGCTGGCTACTGAATTAGCCCAGTATCTGAATTCACACAATATGGTGGATCATAAACTAATGAAATTGCTTTAACCCAACACAAAAGTCATCCCAACTCCTCCACACAAAAAATTAAAAATCAATGAAGCTGAGGATGCGGTATCACAATTAGGTCTTTGACTGGTCAGATGTATTCTATGAACATCATTAAAATATGAAGCTCTTTCTTAACTAATCTAATATAGCTGATTTACTTGGCACAATGACACTTGATATTTAAACCACTCATCAATGGGAGCTCCAATTATTGGACCTGGAAGAGATTGAGAAGTGGATTGATTTTTTTAAAAAAAATCATTTCTGCCCTCTAAATAGGAGTTCAAGAGTCTAGAATTAAAACAGACCAGTCAGTGACTCAAGGTTGCACCATGGGTATGTATGTGTATAAATAGAAGAGACAGAGAACATTTAAATGTTAACACCAAACTTCCCCTTTATCTTCCAGCCACCCACCATCTGACATCAACACCCAGCTGATGGCAGGCTCAGGATTGGAAGGCCCGTTTGGGGGTGTGGCTTTGAGACAACTTGTTCTAAGGAAGCAAACTGTTGACATGTTTCGCTGAATTAGAAGCATGAGGCTTTGTAGTCATCAGCTTAGGTTAATCGGTTACAGGAAGTTGTCTCATTAAAGCATGTTGCTTTGATGTTAATGTTTGAGATCTGACCAGATGAAGAATTTTACCTAAGATCACCCTGTATGGCTCAGGTGATCCTAAGTATTACAGTATTTTAAACTGATCCACAGGGCCATTTTTATTTCTCTTACTTCAGAGTTAAGTTCTTGGAGGGTTTTTAATCAGTGTGCTAAAGATTCCTGCTGCTGCTGTTAGGAGTCATTCCCACGTTAAACAAAGTGAACTCAACTTGGGGAAACAAGTAAATACACATACTCCAAAATGTGTTTGTCCCACAAAGGGGGTCTTAACATGGAACTAGATTTTTCTTCCTCCTTGGAGCCAATACTTAATAAGTAAGGGTGCAGGAGAGATACCCCTAACCATTTTCTCGAAAGAAAGGGGGATCTAAAAAGACCCCAACTGTAGAAAGGAATATTATAGACCGGCGCTTCTCAATTTTGGTAGCTTTAAAAAGGGTGGACTTCAACTTCCAGAATTCTTCATGCAGCATGCTGCCAGGGGAATTCTGGGAATGGAAGTCTACCCTTCTTAAAGCTGCCAAGGTTGAGAATCACTGCTGTAGAAAGTGATGGGTACGGAAGATAAAGAAAGGAAAAGCAGAGTTGATCCATAAGCAAAGAATCTGTAGGAATAAATTACAGCATCCAAAAGATCCTGTTTTATAGACAGAGCCTGGACTTTTTCTACACTTAAGTAGAATGTTACATGTTTTGTACCTTTTAGTCTGTTAGTCCTAAAACCACTAGGCTCAGCTCCTGGAGGCAAAGATGCTAGCCACGCAATCTCCCAATTTCAAACATCTCCACTTATGGAATGGTTTACTGTCACCTCTCTGAATGCTACCAGAAAAGATGTGTGTAATGTATGTCAAGTAATAGAGCAGAGCAGGAGGGTCCAACCCAGGGCCCATGGGCTGCATGCAGTCCCAGGCAACTAGTAATGAAGCCCCAGCAGATCATAAACTTTTAACATTATTATGTATTTTATATACATTAACAATATTTTTTTATATGCGGGCCAAGACAATTCCTCTTCAGTTAATGCCAAAAGGTTGGACATCCATGGGCTAGACCTTCATGCAAACAGCTGAATTTCTGACCGCCCCACATCTGTTTCAGAAGCAATTCTAAAACGACTTCTGTACTTGGCTGAACCTAAGCACCTCAGGGGTAGTAGGCACCACCTCAATTGGTGAAATGTGTAAAAAGAGCTTTCTTAAGCATCCTGCATGACATTACCTGGAGCATTCACAGTTAGGTGCCCATTATTTTGGTTTGGAAAAGAAGTACCAGCAGCACCAGGCTCTGCTATGACTAAAGGCGGGGGAGGAAATTTTGTTTGCAGAAAACTGTGTCCCCCCCCCCCCCAAGAGTTAGAAAAATGAGTTTTCTGACTCAGTTCATCCTTGGTTGACCAGGAAGGTTGGTCAGAGCCTCTCTCTTGCTTTTCAGGCTCCAGTGGACCGCAGTAGACCTCCGGTGCTGTGAAAACAGGTGCTTCTTCCCTCCTTCCCCAACGCAAAGCCAAACCTGCTACCATCTTCCAGTGTTGTTCAGAGTAACCTAGAACAGCTTACAGGTAACCCAGCTAAGCTGGAGGAGGCTATTCTCAGATCATTGGGCATGTTGTGGTCAACAGCTCCAAGTTTGTATTGCTGGGACGGGGGGAGAAAAGCCTCATCTTTACTGGGGCAAAGAAAAAAAGGGGGGAGGGAGGGAGTTTGGGGTTGGGAGAAGAGGAGAAAGGAAGGGAGACAAAATAGGGAAGGCGCGCTCCGATTTCACGCCGGCCGATCGCTTCCCTTCCCGAAGGAGAAGAGTTGCAGAGAAAAGGGGCGGAGAAGCGCAGAGGGGCGCTGGCTCGGCCGTGCCCGGGATAGGCGACTGTCTGCAGCGAGAGCCAAAGAACGCGCCGCCGGGGCTCGAGTTTCAGCGGGGCTCGGCCACAAGGGTAGGTGTCAGAGACACGTGGCTCCTGGTTAAATGAGATGTCAAAGCGGCAACCACCGGCCCCTCCCTCTCCTCCCCGCCTGGGGCCCGCCTCCGTCTCTCCGAAGGCGTCTGCCCCGAGCCTTCCCAAGGGGGCGGCGGCCAAATGCAGGGCGGCGGCGGCGAAGCCAGCAAGCAAATAAGCAAGCAAGCAGCGCGCCTTCCAAAGAGTTCTTCTCAGGGCGGCTTGGCTGGGGAGGGAGTCGCGCCGATCCGACCCGGCGGGACTTGCTTCCAAGGAAGGTGGCGCTGCTGGAGGGGGGGAAAAAAAAAAGGGGGGGGGGGGCTTGCCCCTTCCAGCCGCCCCCGCGCCCCCCCCCCCCCCCCCCCCGCGGCTCCGGCCAGCGCCCCCCCCCCTCTCCCCCCCCCACCGCGCCCCACAGAATCCAAGGAGGGTTTGATCTTTTAGTGGTTGATTTTAATTTTGAACTGAACTTTCGACTACAAGGGAATTGAATATAAAGAATAAATAGTAAACTCTCTTCCGTGTACAGAAGATGAAAGACGTTCCAAGAAAAACAGCAACACCAAACCCGCTATGTACATCATAGTAACAACAACGTGTCTTAATCATAGTCATCATCTCGGAAGTCCGTAAAAAAAAAAATTCACAGCGCGAATCCCGCGAAAACTTCCCCGCCCTCCCCAAATAATGGAAAATATTTCCATTGATATAATAAAAACGTTTTTATGTTAAAGTCCTCTTTTCTTTAAAAAAAAAAAAAGCCTTTGCAAACAAAAAACAAAAACCCCCAAGGTTTGAGGAGCGTTTGTTGCGAAATCCTCCAAACGCTTCTTTTCTGGCATATAAATTAAAGGCAGGGAGGTGGGTGGAGAAAACGTCCAATCTGCGAGGATCCGAGGGAATCTGCTCAGAAAAGTACAGCAGGCGAGAAGAGTTCGCGGTGTTAACACTGACCTGGAGGCGTTTGGGTGGTCTTGCAGGGCAGGGCAGGGCGAGGGCAAGGGGGTCCGGTGAGCGCAAAGACTCTCCCACGTCTTTCGTGACGCGCGCTCGTCTTTAACACAACAACAACACCAAAAGTTGCCTGTCTTGCACACAACCCGGAGCGGTGCAACTTTTTCAACGGGGAGGCCAACGTCGCTCTATTATCTCCTTTTCCGCTTCGTAGCGTCTTGAAGTCAACCAAAAAAGCCCGGCTTCGAGACCGGGATGGTTCGGCGAGAAAAAGAGGCCCGCTGTTTTTCTACGGGACGTTGACCGGAGCGGAGGGCACGCGTTGCTCCCCCCCACCGCCCGCCTTAGCAAGAGCATTTGCACTCGGAAATGATCGGGTACTGGATGGGGATCCACGTGCAACGCTGCCCCCCGCGGCGCTGGCACCTCCACCGCAAAATGGTCAGATGCACGGATTTGGCCGGCTTGCAAAGCATGCCTTCCGGAACGGAGCAAGAACGCTTGCTGAAACAGCTGCCCACCTTCACGTAGCGGGGCCAGAAGCGGCTGCCGAGGTCGTTCCACGTGTAGAGGACCGGGCAGAAAGTGTGCGACCACAGCCAGAGCTGCAGCTTCCGACGGAGTTTCTTGCTCAGCCGGTGCTTCTTGCTAGCCTGGAGCCCCCCGTCGTAAAACTCCAGCCCTTTGATCTCGCTGGGCATCGCTCCGGAGGGTCTCTGCCGCAGCAGCAGGTCCATCTGGGCTAGGTCGTCCCCGCCGAGACGGTCCTCAGCCAAGGAGACGGCCATGAAGCTCGGGTCGAAGTGGGTACCCAGCAGGGTCCTCAGCAACGTGTCGTTCAGGTCCTTCTCCTTGGGATCGAAGATAGGGTCCGGGTGCTCGATTAGATCCACCAGGGGCAAGTTGTCACTGGGGGCCGGTCGGATGTGGAGGTAGTGCTGGCAAGCGCCCTGGTCCAGGCGGAAACCTAGGAGAACCGCCAACGCGTAAAGCCTCACCAGCCACTGAAGGTGATCCATGCTCGGAGAGAGGGAGAGGGATGGATGGATGGAGGGGGAAAGGAAAGGGGATAGGGTTCACCCAGAAGCGGGCCTGAGCAGAGGCATCGGCCGGAGAAGGGAAGGTTGAGGGGGTATCCAAGCAAGGAAGGGCAGGAGACGAGGGTCTTCCCCTGCCGCTTGCCTTCAGCGGCTGCCCCTCCTTGCCCAAACGCTTTTTCCTCGGGTCCGGGTGAGCAGGCAACAGCAGCAAAGAAAAAAAGAAAAAGAAAAAAAAACCCGCAACCGTTCAGAAGTAAGTAATGCTGATCGTGAAAGTCGGCAGCCCCGTGCAGAAACTCAGAAGCCTGGGATGCCCCGTGCAATTGTTCTGCCTCCGGATTGCGGGGGGTTGCGCGTCGCGTCAGTCAGGAGGAGAACCTCTCGCCAAACTTCCATTCGGCTCCGGTCTCTTTGCAGTTTTGCAACAGCCGCCGCCGCCGCCGCCACGCACCTTGGCACCAGTTAGTCTGCTGCGCGAGGATCCAGCGTCTTTAAATTTCCTGCACTTTCTGTTCCATCACTATGGAAACCTCCGACTCGCTCTTTTCAGGCACTTCTCCTTAAAAGAGGAAACTCGTGGTGTGTGTGTGTGTGTTGGCGGGGGGGGGGGGGGGGGGAAGCAAAGACGATCTGCTACTCCCGAAGACCTGGAGGCAAATCGCTCAGTCGGTTGCTCCGGCCAAAGGTGGGGAAGAAGGGGGCAGCCTCTTTTTCCGTGGCGAGCTCCAAGCGCGGCTGGGAAGGGATGCTCTTTTTTTTGCAGGAGCCTCTTCAGTTGCGTCTCCGGACTATCCGAAGTGGCTTGGCCACTGCTCCATCGGACACCCTCCTAGCTGCGCTGGGTTATGAATTAGAAGGCGGCCTTACGGCCAGCTTTTTATACGGCTCCAGCGGACAGCAGCAAGCCTGTGCAACCTTGCAAACCCACCGCTTCGTGTGCATCGCCCGGGACTGGCTTCTCTTTAGCCGCTCACGCCCTCTTTTTACTTTGGCCGCCCAAACTCGCTCACCTCGTGCCCTTTCTCCCCCCCACAACTAGGATTACCCTGGTCCCCGCTGCATTTATTTGCGCGGCTCCACGCTTGAGCCCGTGATGTAATTCTAGTTGGCTTCTAGCTCAAGGAAGGCTCGGCAAACGCCTCCTTTCTCCAAGCGTGAAATTGCTGGCTAATGCTAAGTCAAGGGACGGGGGCGGGGGGAAGGGGGGGGGGGGAGCCCGCCCTCTGCTGGCCGCCGCTTGAACTCTCATCCCTCTCTGCTGTTTCCTCGCGGGCGCGACACAACAGAAAAAAGTAAAAGAGTTGCGAACCTAAGACAACATTGTTTCCTGAACATTGTGGCAAGGTAGTGCCACTTAAAGCAGTGGTGGCTAACCTTTTTGAGCTCCTGTGCCAAAAATTGTGTGTGCGCGTTTGCACGCTGGCGCTTGCATGCCAGCACACAGAAGGCAATGTGTGTGTCCCATGCCCCCTATGCGCCTGCAATCCCCACCCACCCCTGCTGCCCCTTTACCTGCACTGCACCTCACAGCTGATTTTCAGCTGGTTTGAGGCCTTTTTTGGTCTCCCAAAGGCTTGAGGAAGGCTTCTGCGGGCTTTGCAGGCCGAAAACTAGCCCCATTTCATCACTTCAGAAAAACAAGGAAGTGACCAAACGGGGCTAGTTTTCGGCCTGCAAAGCCTGCAGAAGCCTTCCTCAAGCCTTTGGGAGATTGAAAAAGGCCTCAAACCGGCCGAAAAACAGCTGTGAGGCACATGCATGTGGAGTGAGCTACCCGATTTTATTTCATTATGCACAACGACCTCTTGTGCGTCAGTTGCAATCATTTCTGGAACTAAGTGTTTTGATCGCACGTCAAATGCATTTGACATTGCATGGAGCTGACCATAAGGACAATTTAGAAGCTGGTTTAACAT